GGCGTCCAATCCCCACCACTGCTCAGTCCCTCCGACTGCTTCGCCCCGAGACTACCGCGGGTCCACCCCACGTCGTCACTCCGCCCGTCCTTGGGCTCGTCGAGCCTGTTCGGCGCCGCGGACTTTCACGCATAGCTCGCGCAGCATTGCAGCCGAGATCAAAGAGGAGGAGGGGAGAGGGTTGCGCAAATTTATAGCACGGGAGGCGGCGGGTTGTCAGCGAGAGGCGCGGACAGCGTAGAAGAAAAGGTGGGGAGTAAGAGGGTTCGACCCGCGGGGTTGCATGGTCCTACGTGATTGGGGTGCTCGTTCAAGTGGTGCGCGGTTTCCCGCTCTCCACATTGATATGAGCATCCCAACTACGCAGCCAATCACTTCGCGAAAGAAGACGGGGTAAGGATCAAGCTGGGCGTAGGGGAAGACGAAGAGTCCGGCTTGAGGGAAACGCGAGCAGCAAGGAAGGAAGATGGCGCGGGGATGCAAAGCAAGAAGCGGGGGTGCGAGACGCGCGAAGAAATCGGAGCTTAGGCGTGCACGCGCAAAAATTTAAAAAGTCCCAACCGAAACCGTTTCTTGGTTTTCATACCGCGGCCGCTATTCGCCCGCGTGGGAGTTATTAACCAAAAAAATGAAAAAGCCGTTTCAAGAAGAAAACAAAAGCAAAAAGAAAGAAAAACCCCTCTCTGTCCACATCCGTACTTTGGGGCTTCCGCGAGTTTTTTCCTCAGGGATACGACAATCCGCGCGGTACGGGTCTGAGCTTATCACATCTGTGATACACAGGGGGTTCCAAAAAATTAGCAGTCTCTCGACTGCTGATGTCATCATATCTTGGATGATCGGGCGGCCTCTTCATCGTCAGCTGGCCCGATCATCTTCCTAATCTATGTGGATGCATTCTGCATCCTCCATTGCCTCCTCACATAATATACATCTGATCGGGCGACCCCTTGATCGTCAGCTGGCCCGATCGGTAAGTAACTGAATTTTTTTTTTTTTTTTTTTGAGATATACAGCGCGTATCATTTCGCGAACTTTAGATCCGGAAAAGAAGAAGAAAAAGAAAGAGGTGGTGGTGGAGATGATCATAGGAAGTAATCAATCTCTGGATTGAGATGGAGGTAGGAACCGCCACGAGCGCGGCCAAGTTGGTTGGCACTTCCACTTCATTGAAGTGGTGCTGGACAAAGGAGGGGTAAAGGAAAGCCCCCGGCATCCGCTCTGGCGTCGGCTTGGGAATTACATAGTATACGTAGAGGAACTCGCCGACGTTATGAACTTCGTGCTCCACGAAGAATGTAAACATGCCCAGCACCACCGACGAATACAACGCCCGATGCAGCTCCCACGCGTCCTCGTCAGCGGGCGACAACTGCTCGACATCCGTCAGCTCCACCAGGTACTCGGGGAAGTTGAGCATAGGATAGGGGAGCTGTGTCAGTTGGTGAGGGAGGGTAGTGTAAGAGAAGAAGGGAGGCATTTAGAGAGAAGGGGGAGGGACTGCTTGAATGTTGAGGGGCTCGGCGGGAGAAAGGAGCGCGGGGAGCTGCGACACCAATGCAAGTGCTCCCTCCGGAGTCCGACGCAGAAGTCCTTCGTATGCAGTGAAGCGATGGGTGTCCCTCGCCTGCACTCGCGCCACCGATCTAGCCTCCTGGAGGGCGTAGTTGCGCAAGAACCTGTATGCCGGCTCCTGATCATGCCCGGGCAAGACGGTTAAATCCCTGGTGAAAGTGGCGACGCTGTGCACGAAGTTCGTAGCCACCTGGATGGCTCGGAACTCGATGAACACTCGCGTGGATTCCTAACCAGGCACTGGCGATATGTCCACATAGACGCCCGCGTACGTCACACACTGTGCGAGGAGCGAGTACACCGCCAAGTCAACAATGCTGGGTGCCGACACGTTCACTTGCTAAATGTCGAAGCGCAGCTGCCGATCGTCGTTGAACCGGTTCCGGAGAAGAGCGTCCGAGATGGGTGGCTGGAAGTGCTCGAGCAGTTCATGCTCCTGTTGGCAATGGTTCATCCTGTGAGGGAAGGTCTTCCGCGGATGCCGACGACGCCGATCGGAGAGAAGGGGGAGAAGGAGGCAAGGACGAAGGAGCGCTAGAGAGGGACGAAGAAGATGATTCGGGCAGGATAGGTGGCCGCACGAGATCCAGCGATGGCCGAAAAGGCCGGAGAGCAGCAGCGTGCCTCGTCAGCGGGCGGCCTTGCGAGTTGTGCCTGGGAACCAGCTTCACGAAGTGCTGGCCTCGTGCGCCAACTTCCGTCACCTCGTAAATGCTTGTGTAGCGTGGGTGGATCTTGGAGGAGTGCGCGGATTTCCGTACCGGCATCAAGTCCCCAACTTTATAGCGAGGTAGTGGTCCCGCGGACGCATGTCGGTTCTCGTAGTCGCGGATCTGCCGTTGATGCGTCCGATCTACGGCCCGCTGTCGACGACGAGCTAATGGGGGATAGGCCCTAGCCATTAAGTCCATGTAGTGGGCCTGTGTTGCTCTAACTTCCGTACCTACCAAGGGGGACAACTGCACCCGAGGGACACTATTGGTTCTCAGTTGGAAGGGGGACACCCCTGTACTACCGTGTGGGGTAGCCCTATAGACGGCCAAGATGTGGTCGACAATGACAGGCCAGGGCCGGGTGTCTCCCGCAGTGATATTTCGTCTAAGAGCGGTCTTAATCAATCGGTTGGCATTCTCTACCAGGCCATTGGCTTGAGGCCAATGCCCCGGCGAGTAGATAATCCTAACGTCCGCCCTGAGTAGGTGACGTTCTACTTCGCCTTGAAATTCCGACCCATTGTCTATGTGTACCTCTTCTACGTCTAGATGCATGCACAAAAATCGGTTTATGTACCAGGCTACCTCCTGTGAATTCCGGCAGGTCATGGGGTACGCCTCGATCCATTTCGAAAAATGATCGACGGCCACTAAAAGAACATTGAGCTCTCCCTGATCGACGGGACCTCTCGGAACGTTGATATCCGTCGTGTCGATACTAACCCTCTGAAAGGGGCGCTCTACTCGAGTAGGCACCATCGTCCGAGGCGTCTGTACCGGCGCCTTGTCCGCCGCGCAGGCCGGGCAATTCTGGACGATGTATTTCACATCTTCCCGAATTCCCGACCAGTACCATCCATTCTTTTCGATAGCCTTTTTCGTGTATTTGACCGCGAAGTGGACCACATCCTCTTCATGAGCGGCTCGGGTCCTTTCGAATCTAGCTAAACGGTGCGGAACCGTCAACCAGCTAAGCCCTCCGTCATCCTCAATTTTTCGTTTTTGTAACGTCGATCCCTGCCAGCGATAATCGTGCGCCCGCTCCATGACTCGCCGCCGCTCGGCTTTGGTTAGTTCTGTCAGCGAGTCGCCTGTCAGTCTCCTTAACAACAGGAGGTCCGTACAGACTTCTGCCCTGCGAGCACTGGGCGCAAATCCGTCGGCTGTTCTTGCGTTCAGATACCGCTTCTCGGTAGGGACTTGGTCCGTTCTACAATTGGGACAGACCCATGTCTTTTCACTTCGGTACCTAACGCACTGTCCGTGAGATTTGACCGTATGACACTGACTACACTGTACCCATAGAAGAAAACTGGGCCCTCCCGGATGTGACCCTTTTCGATCCGGGACCATAGGCAGAGTACAGAAGAAACAGGAACTTAGATGTGACTTAGAGGAGGCGTTGGGACTAGACGAGGGAGCAAGAGAACTTGACGAGGGCAAGGAGATGGCATCCGCCATCTCTGGCGAAATCTCCATTCTAGACTCAGGCGTCGTCCTTGCGCAGCACGTGCAGCCCCCCGTAGCGCGGCTCCGTCGGAATGGCTTCCAGCTTCCACGGAATGAGTCGCTCATTGGCGGGACACTTGTTGGGCGGCAGGAGGCGTGCTAATCCATCGGCGTTGCCATGCTACTGCGTGGCACGGTGGCGAATGTTGAAGTCATAGTCCTGCAGGCGCACCGCCCACCTTCCCAGCGTCCCTGTGTAGTCCGTGTTGTGGCGTAGGGACAGCAGCGGCTGATGATCCGTTACCAGCACGAATTTCTGGCCGTAAAGATACGGTCGGAAATGTTCAATCCCCCACACCACTCCCAGGCATTCCCCTTTGCATGCTTCGTAATTAGACTGCGCCTGGCTCGGCGTCTTACACGCATACTCAATGACGTGCTCCCTTCCGTCCGTTCCCTGCTGAGTCAGCACCGCCGATATCGCCTGCGGCTGCCAGTCAGTATGCAGCGCAAACTGTCTCGTCGGATCGGGACGCGCCAACACGGGTGCCGATGTCAGAGCCTCCTTGAGTGCCCGAAAAACCGCCTCGCATTCCAGCGTCTAGATCAGCTGCTCCTTCTTCAGCAGGTTCGTCAGCGGCTTGGCGAGGCAGGCAAAGCTCCAAATGAAGCGTTGATAATAAAAGGCCAGCCCTAGGAAGGCTCGAAACCTGAGTGAGCGTGACCAGGGCCGGGGCTTCTCGAACCGCTGCTACCTTCCTGGGATCCGGTTTCAGTCCCTCGACCGTGACGATGTAGCCCAAAAAGGAAATTTCGGATAGAAAGAACTCGCTTTTCTCCAAAGCCACTTTGAACCCCGCATCCTTCAACGCATGCAACACCCATTCGACATGTTCCACATGGTACTCGTAGGTTTTGGAAAAGACCAAAATGTCATCCATGTACACAATCACACATAAATTTATCAACGGCTGTGTCAAACGGGTTTTGTTAACGAACTCGGCGAAAGCCATATTCATGGCCCGCTGGAATGTTGCGGGGGCGTTACAAATTCCCATGGGACACCGGATCCACTGCCACATGCCCTCGAACAGGACAAAAGCAGTTTTGGGCCGGTCTTCCGGTCAGACTGCGACGTGGTGAAAACCGTGTTGGATATCGAACTTTGAAAAGAGCCGAGCGGACCCGATAGCATCCAGCAGGTCGTCAATCTGCGGTAGCGGATAGACATCTTTGGTAGTAATAGCGTTTAATTTGCGGTAGTCAATACACACTCGGACTGAACCGTTTCGTTTTGGCACGAGGACCACGGGTAATGACCATGGTCCCAGCGATGGTTCAATCCATCCTTAACCGTTCGAACTCCCGTACCCTTTCCAGGGCCAGCTGTCTTTCCTTTAGGGAATAACGGTACGTTCGGCAATGTATTGGGGCGCGATCACCGGTATCAATCGCGTGTTGGATCAGGTGGGTAAGTCCTATATCGTGGTCCTGGATACTGACGGCTTCTTGGTAGGCCCGTATAACTGCCAAAAGAAGGCGTTTGTAGCCTTCCGGGACACGGTCTGGTAATTGAACTTCTACGGTTCCCCCAGGAAGGGAGACCGTCGTCACGACCGTGGGGACCGCCGCGCTGGCATCAGGCGAGGCACCAAACAAGGAGTTGTCGGTCCTCGCCGAAAGGACAGTCGCAATAAGTTGACTGTCCGCCGGGCTTATCGGCTCGCTTTCCATGTCACTGTCACCGTCCAGTTCGGCTTCGGCCGAAGGTTCTATCGAAAACGCCTGCGCCAGTTCCCTTGGTCCTCATCGATATTCCCTTGTTCGGGGTTGAAACGACACCCCCTCCTTCAAGAGTATAGCGGTTTTTTCTTTCGTAAGTAGGGGCTGTGGGGGACGGAAAGACAAATCGCACAACCCCCTAAGTTGTGTAAATCTTTCGGGCAGGGGGTCCGTCTGGAGGTATAAGGATGGAGGGGGTTCCGAGAGGTCAGTTATTCGGGACACCCTCAACAGGGGTTCTCCCTGCACGATAGAGGAGAACGCATGGGACTGATTGGATTCACTCCGAACAATTTCCATAGGTTCTCGCCGCCAAGAATGGGGCCACCAATCTTGAACCCGAATCGGATATCGGTCGGGTACATCAGTCTCGTCAGTTTCCAACGAGGTTTCATTTTCACCTGGTGACAGGCGTCGGATCATGTTGATTTGATGGGCTTTCGTGGTGATTCGAGGCGCTGGCTGGGTGCGCATACGCACCGCCAATCTCATTGGTATCGTCTGTGGTTTGGGGTGGGCCGATGTGAGCACCACCTTACAACTGTCAAAGTGCATTCGCGCTCCGACCGCCGCCTGCCACGGAATGCCTAGCAGAACATCATACGCCTGTACATCCAGCACGATTGCGTCGCACAAACAATGCACCTGCCCCACCCGTATAGGCACGTTCGTTATTCGCCCTTTACAATGAATGCTGTCTTCCGTAGCGGATATATACAGTTCATCCGGTCGGAGGGGCTGAACCTGTCCTTCCCTTCCCAATTGTTTCGTCAATCTCCAAGAAATGGCGACCGCTGATGATCCCGAGTCTAGGATGGCGGCCGAGGGGTTTCCCCAGACCTCACAGTCACACTCAACGCTTTTCCAGATTATAGGATAGGCTCGGAGGAATACCTCAGGTTTTTCCGAGGCAAAATCTACGGTCTGGATCATTCCTATCTGGTTGGCTTCGTGCACCTTTGAGGTCGAGGGCTGCGACTCCTCGTTTGTGGGTAGGTCCCGTAGGACCAACTTTTTGCCCTTTCGACTTTCCTCGAATCGACGCCTGTTTTTGAGGCATCGTTCGTTCAACTTTTCGTTAGCTGCTTCGGAAATGGTTAGCAGATAGGGAATAGGGACGGGGATCCGTAGATCCAGAGCCTTCAAGGCATCCAATACGTCGATATGGCCATCCTTGTATTCAGGACCAGGTGCCGCAAGATCTTCAAACCCTGGTCGCCATGGCCCGAGGTCGCTTTCCTCGGTAATCCGTTGGACGTGACGTATCACTCCGATGGTCCCGGGTTCGAACATCGCCGCCGCCATATACTCATCGGGTCCTATCTCGGTGGCCGCAGGGGTCACCATCTCCGTCGTTCCAGTATCCATTACTGTGGCTACCCTCCCCTGTCCTGCAGCGGTTGGAGCAGCCAGCGGGATTTGGGAAGGTTCGGTGGGACCCGCGGGTCCACTCTGAGTTCGAGGTTTCGGACAATCTTTCGCAAGGTGGCCCGGCTGATTACAATTATAACAGCGTAGGGGCGGGACAGCCCCGACCACGGCCGGTCTTATCATAGGGGCCCTGGCGGCGATAACCGCTTGTTGCCGTTGTGCGGCGGCTATGCGTTGCCGCTGCAAACTTTGAACAAACTCCATCAACGGGGCCACTACCGTAACTAGTTGGGCCGCGACCTCTTTCATGGATACTTCTTCCTCGCCCCGGCCTCCTTGAGCTTGACCAGAGCGACGGGAGGTCGAAGCAGAGGAAGAAGCTTTCCGATCCGAGCCTTTTTTTGCCGGACCCAACCCAAAGCGATCTTCGAACATTCGTGCGCAGCGGAGTAGCAATTGCGTCGAACACCCGAAGGGTCGTCTTTGTCGGATTATGAGTCCAGGCCCACATCGTAATTTTCTTTCCCGTACTTGATGGCGTACTGAATTAGCTCCCTCAGGGAATGTTCTATAGGGTTGCACTTCTTGCGGATCTTTTTCCGCAGGCGAGAATCTGACAATCCTCTGACGAAATCAGTCTGTACCATTTTCTCGTCCCCCCCGGAGCGTTCGGCTAGGTACGTAAAACGTTCAGCATATCTAGCCAAGGTTTCCCGAGGCTGCTGCGTGTATTCCTTTATTAGACGGAGGCCTTGACCTCGTGGGATGTGATCAAATCTGTCGAGAAATTTTCTCTGGAAGGCTAACCAATTAGTGAAGGGGTTTTGTCCATACCACTCAAAAGCGGTTCCGGCTAACCTTCCGGGAATTCGTTCTCGGAGCAACTGGTCCGACCAGCCCTGGGCTTTCAAGGCGGCTAGCCAGGTGCGAGGGTCGGTATCATCTTCGGAGAAAATGGGAACCTTGGAGGGAGGAGGTAAAAAATACAGGGGATGATTGGCCATCCCCGCGTGGTTATCGTCGTCGTTTCCATCCCCAATTCCGGGTTCAACCATCGCGGGAGGCGGACCTCGAGCCTGGCCTCTCCCTCGGTTCTGATTGCTATTCGCGGGCCGCCGTCGACGGGGGAGCCAGCCTACGAAAAAAAAAGGATCAAAAAGGAAAAACTTTTAAATAGGGTAATCGTCCTAGGAAAACCTCAGAGCCGAAACGAATCAGCTCTGATACCAACCTCACGCCCCCTCGCGGCTTCCCGTACCGGGTCGCCGATCAGAGTTGAAGGAGGGGCGTGGCCGAGGATTTTTGGCCGTAGGGGTTGAGTCTCCCGGACGGAACGTGAGGCTGTCGTTTCGTGCCAGAGGTTACCCCGGAGTCGAACTGTCGTCGCGAAGTCCCGTGGGGGTCGGATCGCATCGGAGCGATAAAATCAGAAGGGTTTCCGCAAAAACGAACTACCGTCGTACATCAGGACGGGAAAAGGCATCAAGGGGAGAGGGCCATGGCGGCGGAAGACAGAGACTCCGACCGTCATGGGTTTGAGGGATAGATGGTGGGTTCGAAGCCTTCTGGCCTCGTCATCGACCTCATGAAGTGACCTGACCGTCGGACTTTTGCTGTAGAAGTGGTTGGTTCGAGGCCTTCAAGCCTCGGCATCGGACTCGCAAAGTCCGCGCGGAAGTTTCCGAAAGGGTGAAGCGGCGGGAGGACTCGCCGGCATCCGAATTCGAAATTGCGCGGGCAGCGCCCCCGCATTACGGGAGAGCTCGGGGAAACGTATCGCTCCCTCGTAACCCATGACCAAGCGTCGCCAAGAACACGAGTCCCCCTGGCGACACCATCGACAATCAAACTGCGGCCGCCACGCGGCGTGAGCAGCCGACCAGGGCAACACCGTCAAACCCGTATAAGGCAATATTAGAGTCGGGGAATCAAAGCGATCAATCAAGACAAACCCGTTCCCCCTTATATTACACGCCCGAGGCGGG